TCTCGGTGATGGTGGTAATATTCTTGCTTCCAAGGTGACCAAACTATTACCACCAACACCGACATCTAGGATCATCTTACCCCTGTGGAGGCAGCCCCCTGTCTTGGTATTGGTGCCCATTTCCAGGCCTCAAATGCTTGGCTCCCATGTGGGGAGGGAGGGAGGGAGGGAGAGAGAGTGAAGAAACATGGACGGGAGATTTTTGATACCTGGTCGGCCTCTGGGGGGGCCTTCGATGGGCCCGGCACCGTCAACACAAAGGACCCGGGATGGAAGGCTGGTGTTTGGGACGAGAGCCAGATTTGCGGGGGCCACGTGGAGGACCATGAGCAGGGCGGAGGGAGATGGGAATAGGGAGGGGAGGGAGGGTCGCCATGATTCCTTGCAGTCCCACGTCTTTCTCCTGTCTCCTTGGCCCTTGTGGCTTCGTGGCCTTCTGCTCCCTCGTTCACGCTTTTTTTTCTATTGTCCCACTCGCAGAGATCGATATGACGCCAGCCAGCACCGTGTGTTCCAAGGATAATTGAGGAAGGAGGTCCCCTGGGAAAGGTGTCCAGATTTGTTTCGCCGTTTTCAGGTGTTTCGGAACCATCCATGGGCCACGGGGCAGTCGTAATACGGCACAGGATGCAGACTTGGTCCTGGGGGAAGGCCCTGGGGTCCAGGACAAGTTTTCCTGAGGACCCATGCCAAAAAGGGGGGAGGAGGCGGAGGGAGGAAGGAGGTTGGATTACCTTGGACAAGATGGGAAGCGGCACGGCCCTGCTTCGCCTCGAACCGACTTGCGGCCCTCTTCTGCTACCACCACCGCAGCCAGGGAGAAAGATGCGGAGGGGAGGGCGCGGGAAGTTGTTGCCTGCCAGCCCATGGGAGCAGTTGCCGTCAGTTGTCCCTCTCCAGGCACAGACACACATAAACGCCAATCCCCAGGAAAACCTGGAAAAGGTCTCGGAAATGGAGGGGACGACGAGAAGGGGCACCGAAGTTTGTGGAAGCACAAGGGGGCATCTTGGGGATGTGTGTCTCCTTCTTCGCGTTCTGCCCTGTCGTGTCTTCTGGCTTTGCTCGCCCCCCCCCCCCTCCTCCTCCCTCCTCTCCTCCTCCTCCTCCTCCTCCTCCTCCTCCTTCTCCTCCTCCTTCTCCTCCTCCTCCTCCTCCTCCTCCTCCTCCTCCTCCTCCTCCTCCTCCTCCTCCTCCTCCTCCTCCTCACCCTCCCCTGCGCTTGCGCTCGCGCTGCTCCCGCGCCGCTCTGCCGCCCGCCCTCGCCCCCCCTCGGCGGCGCCGCCGAGGGCTTGGCATCGCTCGGACGTGTGCATTTTATCGGCAAGGGCCATCGAGGAGCATTTTTGTTCACGTTGCGAAACAAATGCGCGCACGAAACCGACAAATGCGCAGGGAATGGACGTCCAAGCGATGGCGAGAGGGGTGTGACGCGCCGGAGGGGGGGGGGGGGGTCGGGGCCTCCTCGGCCGGCGGCCGGGCTTCTCCGCCTGGCCTGGCAAGAAGCAGCGTGTCCGGATGCAGCTCCTGGGAGGTCAAACTCCTTTTCAGCCCTGGTCCGAAGTCCCGCTCCATCCGGCTTCATCCCGCTCAAGCCCGCGTAATCTGGCTTATAATCCCGCTGAATTCCGCCGAATCCGGCTGAATCCCGCTTGATCCGAGGCCCACTCTGGCGTAACAGCCCCCCAAATGGGGCTTAATCCTCCTTCATCCTTACTCCTTCCGGCGAACACCTCCCTGTAGTTGCCTCCTGAAGCGTGCGGCCTCGGAGGAGGCCCAGGCAGCTCTTCCGACTGCCCGGAGCCTTCTGCGTCTTCGGGGGAGGCCCGCGCGCCGAGCCTCGCTCCCTCCCGGACCCCCCGCCCCCCCAGTGCAGGGTCCAGGTCGATCCGATCGATCCGAGTGTCCACCGAGCCTTCTCTTTGGGCGGAGGGCGAAGGGTGAGATCTGAGATGCCGTTTCGAGGGATCTTCGAGGCTCGAGTCTGCAAAACGCGAGTCACAAGACGGACTGATTTTCGAGGTGCGTAAGCCCATATGGATTTCACCCTGAGCCCTCCACCCGAAGAAAATGTTCAGATCTACTACGATTCGATTCGGTGCTCCGGCGGTGCGATGTGGCCCGCTGGTTGCATGGCGCTGCCGCGCCTCCTGGCGCAGACAGTTCGATGTGGCTCCGACGTCTCCGTGCCTTTGCGGCGGCCCGATTGGCGGCGTGCATTTGTCCGAGCAGACTCGGGCCCGCCATGCGGTACTGGCTGCTCCCCCCCCCGCATGTTTTTTCCTTCTGCTCCTGCCCCCCCCCCCCCCCCCCCTCCTCCTCTTTCTCCTCCTCCTCCTCCTCCTCCTTCTCCTCCTCCTCCTCCTCCTCCTTTTTTTCATGCTTTTCTTCCTCACCGCACATGCGGGAGCGCTCGGAGGAGGAGGAGGCGGTGGGGGAGGGGAAGCGGGAGGGGAGGGAGGCACGCCAGGTGCGCTCGCGTCATATCGGACGTCCTGCCCCTCCCTACCATCCCTGGCCATGGCGTAGATGTCCTCTCTTTTCGCAGTCGGTTGTCGCAGCAGGGCACAGCATTGTATGGCATAGCATGGTGTTGAAGATCAACGCATAGCCTGACATAGCATGGCGTGGCGACGCGCCAATGTGGTGGGGGGTTCTGCAGCCCAACAATTCATCGGCACTGAACGTATAATCACTTCCGATGGTTGTTTCGGGGGGCCATTTTCTAGATTTTGGAGCGTGTTTGGCAGGACCGAGAACCATGCCGTGGCATGGCGCTGTCAATAATGACGCCAGCGCTGCAGCGGGAGCACGATTCGGAACGAGCGGAAGCGCGGAAATGAGGACAGCGCTGCAGCGGGAGGGGGCGGGGGACCGACACCGAATGTGTAATCACTTCCGATGGCTGTTCCGTGGGGCCATTTTTCTAGATTTTGGTGCATATTAGGAAGGACCGAAAACCATGCCGTGGCATGGCGCTGGAAATAATGACGCCAGCGCTGCAGCGGGAGCACGATTCGGAACGAGCGGAAGCGCGGAAATGAGACCAGCGTTGCAGCGGGAACACGATTCGGAACGAGCGGTTGCCCGAAAATGAGGCCGGCGCTTCAGCGAAAGCGAAACCCCTTTCCGAGGAAACTTGTGTGTTTCAGGGGGGCCGGCCATTTCCCGGACGCCACCAGGGGAGAGAGGATATTAGTATTCATAGTGTTTAATTGTGGAGGGATGAGAAGGGGAGGAAGGGGAGGGTTGAGAAGAGGAGGGAGGGTCGAGGACGAGGGTGGGCGAGGGCTCCTGCCCGGTGCAGGCTGTGCATCCTCTTCGGCGACGCCTGGGGGCCAACGGCAGAAGGGCGCCGCGGTCCACCGATGGGGCACTTTGGCAGCCAGGGAGGGCGGGTAGGGGGCCACATGCGAACCCTACCCCTACCCCCCACCATTTCGGAGGGGGAGGGTGGGGTTCGCATGTGGCTCCCTAGCGGGGGCGTGCTGGAGGCTATGGCAGGAGGCAAATCGGCGGCAGTATGCGGATGGCCATGGTCCAGGCCTCGTAGATGGGGTCGGAGCAGATGGAGTCGGGGGATCGCGCCGCATCGCCGATGCATCGGCGATGCTGCTCGACATTGATCCCTATTTTTTCCATGCTGACGTCGCCGATGCATCGTTGATGCATCGGCAAATCGACGGCAGGGTGCGGATGGCCATGCCATTAAGCATGATTCAATCTCTAACCCTGATGACAAAACGAACTCGTGGCCTAAGCGGGGTCCACAGTTCCCAGGGGTATCCCTGAACATCTGGGTGGTGTCGTCTGACACCTCTGCAAAAGAAAGGGCCCCCCTACCTCTCATGCTGTAGGTCATCCTGACCTACGCCCCCTCCCTCGGGGCTGGACAGACCTCCTATCCTGACACCTCGATTAGTGAATTGGCTGTTTTCGGTTCGCGGGAGGGCGTCGCGGCCGTCATTTTTGCGGGTCCAGGTCCATCGGTTTCGGTCCCAGGCCGCTTTCACTAAGGGGAGGTCTACTGAAGGGAGGTTTGTCCAGCGCCGACTCCCAGATTGTTCGGGGTGCCTTTATCGCTGATCCCACGGGGACGAGGAGACTGAGGCTCTCAGACTCTTTCTGGGCGGAGGCTGGGGAGTGCCGCCTGTCGGGCGTTGCTGTCGGCACTCGGCGGCTTTCAAGCCTCGGGTGTGTTCTTCTGCCGCAGTGCCTGTCGCTGGGAGCGTCCCAGGGGTGCCTCCTCCTCCTCCTCCTCCTCCTCCTCCTCCTCCCTCTTATCCTCCTCCCTCCTCCTTCCTCCTCGTCCTCCTCCCTCCCCTCCCTCCCTCCCTCCCTCCCTCCTCCCTCCCTCCCACCCGCCCTGCCGCCCGAGGAGGGAGGAGGACAGCCGAGGCCTGGCCCGAAAACCAGACGAGGATCACTCGGATCGGGCCGAACCAGGGCGGATTGTGCAAGGGCGACGTTTGCTGCATGCAGCTGTTCTCGGCCCTGCCGCCGGGCGTCTTCCTCGGTACACACGGGCGCCTCTGGCGCAGGGGAAGTCAGCTGCGTGAGCTGATTCCTTACCCTCCCCGTTCTCCCCCCACCTCATGTGCGATCCGAGAGTGTACGGAGGGCGGCCAGTCCTGATCTTTGAGTGAAGCGGAAGATACGGCAGGGGACTTCGGCTTAGCGTGTCGAACCGCTGGTTCTGGCACTCCTCGCTTCGGTACGACGCGTTAGCCACCTCTTCACTTGCGAGTGTCGACGCCCCGAGCCTCTCCGAGCCTCCCGCCCCGCGGAGCGGAAGGACGCGCTGTCCGCTTGCAGGGCACAGCGTGTCGCCGTGGCCGCCAGCGCGACGCGCGAAGCAAAAGTTCCGATGCCCCGTTTGCCAGCCGTGCAGATGTGCGTTGAGCGCGTGTGAGTACAGCAGGACGCCGCAGGCCCTATCGCCTCCGCGCTTCTCCCGCGTACCCAGCACCGCCAGCCCAGGCAAGAAGAGGGGCAACGTCATGCCCGTGTCGAAGGCCGCCTTGGGGTGCAGAAGTTCTAGGCCTCCCAGATTGGGTCCGAGTAGAGGTCGGAGAGTCGTGCCGCATCGTCGATGCGATGCGATGTGGAGCCGAGTTTCTCCACTCCGACGTCGCCGATGCATCGTCGATGTCGCGGACGCATCGCCAATGCGTCGGCGATGCATCGAGGATGCGGCGCGATCCTCCGACGCCGTCTATTCGGACCCCATCTGGAAGGCCTCTAGAAGTGGAGTGAAGAAGCAGGGACTTTACCGACGCTCGCGGCGGGGGGAGGGGCCGGTCGGGAGGGGAATGGTCACGGCGGCCGCGGCGCGCACCCGCCAGGGTGCGTCCGCGCCGCCGGCGAATCAATCGCTTGTGCGCACCACACAAGTGGGGGGTGGTCCGGGCCCCCCCCCCAGTGCGCTCGTTAGCGTTACCCTCAAGTCGGGCCTGTCCCTCTACAGGAGGAGTATTCAAAAACAGTCAAAGAATAGCCTGGGGACTTTTTTTTATACATATATATACACACTTGTTTTTTTGTTACATGTTTCAAGTATAAGATATATATATATATATTTCATTTGGGGGTATTGTTGGACTACTTATTTTTCGTCCAAAGATCCCCTTGCAGGAGGAGAGGCCCGACTTGACGTTACCCGTGGTGGTGGTGGTGGTGGCCCCGGTAGCGCTGCGCCAGCGGCGCCCCCCCCCTCTCCCGAAGGCGAGGCAGCTGACGGACCGGCTCGAGGACGCCGCCCGCCCAGGGTAGCGCGCCCCGCCCTCGCTCCATCCCTCGCTCCCTTCCCTCGCTCCCCCCCCTTCCTCCATTTCCCTCCCCCCTCCTCCCCATCCCTTTCTCCCCTTCCCTCCTGCCCTTTTCCCCTCCAAAGGGCCCTCGCTCCATCCCTCGCTCCCTTCCCTCGCTCCCCCCCTTCCTCCATTTCCCTCCCCCCTCCTCCCCCTCCCTTCCTCCCCTTCCCTCCTGCCCTTTTCCCCTCCAAAGGGCCCTCGCTCCATCCCTCGCTCCCTTCCCTCGCTCCCCCCTTCCTCCATTTCCCTCCCCCTCCTCCCCCCCCCGTTCCTCCCCTTCCCTCCTGCCCTTTTCCCCTCCAAAGGGCCCTCGCTCCATCCCTCGCTCCCTTCCCTCGCTCCCCCCCTTCCTCCATTTCCCTCCCTCCTCCCCCCCCTTCCTCCCCTACCCTCCTGCCCTTTCCCCTCCTTTGGAGGCGGCTCCCCTTCCCTCCTCCCTCCCCCTCCGTCTCCCCTTCCCTCCCTCCCTCCTCCCCCCCTTCCCTCCTCCCCCCTGCCTCCCTCCTCCCTCGTCCGTCGCTCCCTTCCTCATCCTGGAGGCCTTGGAGGGGGGTGATCCGCAGGTCGTGGCCGCACGCATACTAGGCGCACGGGTCACACGTGATCGGTGGCCCCACAGGGGAGCTGCACCGACGGCCACACTGGAAGGGACCGCATGCCGCCGCCGTGGCAATGTCAGCACACCCCTCACACGTTCCGTGGCCGCAGCCGCCGCTGCGCCAGTGTCAGCACATCCCTCACACGTTTCGTGGCCCCACAGGGAGCTCGACCGAAGCCCCAGCGGCAGGGTCCGCATGCTGCCGCCGCGCCAATGTCGGCACGCATCTAGCACGTCTCGTGGCCTCACAGGGAGCTGCACCGAAGACCTTAGAGGGGTGGTCCGCATGCCGTCGCCGCACCCATTTCCGCACAGTCGTCACACGTTTCGTGGCCCCATAGAGATTCCCCCTCCTTCGTTCCACCTGCCTTGCGGTACGCTCATTTGCACATGGTTGACTCTTTCGCCACGTGGACTGTTTTATCTCCCAACCAGTCGACAGCGCGGGCACCCAGGGGTCTGAGATTCCCCCCCCCCCCCAGGTCAGTTTTTCACCCCGAGTACTCTTCGAGTGGGCCTGCGTCGTGGCGAGGGCCCCTCCTCCTCCTCCTCCTCCTCCTCCTCCTCCTCCTCCTCCTCTCCTCTCTCCTCCTCCTCCTCCTCCTCCTCCTCCTCCTCTCCTCTCCTCCTCTCCTCCTCCTCCCCCTCCCCTCCTCCTCCCTCCTCCTCCTCCTCCTCCTGCTCTTCCTCCTCCCCTCCTCCTCCTCCTCCTCCTCCTCCTCCTCCTCCTCCTTCAGATGCTGGGCCTCTCGGCAAAACTCTCGGCCGCGGCCCCCTCGCAGCCAGAGGCGCTTCGGCTCCCGGGCCGTACCTCGGGCCTCCGGGGGGGGGCCCCTCCGGGGCGCCCGGGGGGCCCCCATCCGAAGACCGCCCTCGGCGAGGCGCAGCCGCTGGGAATCAGAGCGTGAATTACCTACGGTAGGTTCGCGTCGTGTCGACTGGCGGCGACCCCGCCGCCGACGTTTAACGTTGAACGCCGGCGGCGACCCAGAATCGGTCGATGTTGAACGATTGGACGTTGCGGGAACGGCCGATCGTTTAAGGTTGAACGATCCACGCGGTGTCAGAAACCAACGCCAGGGTCGTCAC